GGGCTTGATCACAGAAATAATGGACTATTCCATGGAAGGGTTTCAAATGAAAACTCAAGGAAGAAGATAGTCTTATGGGTGACCAAATTTTTGTCAAGGCTCTCTCTCTCTTCTCTCTCTCTCTCTCTCTCTCTCTCTCTCTTTGAAGTGAATACTCAAGTTAGGGTTATAATTGATCTCATAAGTTACTTTTATACTTAGATCACAAAAATGGATTTGATCTTGATCGTTGATGCCTTAGATCAATGGCACATGAGAGGCTTTTATCCAAGCTACTCATCCATATCTTATCACCAAGATCAATGGATGAGCTTTTGACACCTTTTACTCCTTAAAACCTAGGTTTATAATCATTTTACCTTGAAGCTCTTAGCTCTATATTTTATTTATCATTAAGTCCAAATTCATGTTTACACTTATGCCTATAGTTTTTGAATAATATGTGAGAGTCAATAAAATACAAGGACATGGACATAAAGATAATATGAGACATCCACACATGTGAATAAAATATCTTATGACACCACCAATAAGATTTAAACAATACTAAAGTTTCATATAGGTCAAGCCCATAAGGTGGTGCCATATAAGATATACTCACATGCTACAAAATCATATGTAGATAATAATATGAATTAAATTAATTCTTAAAATTTCATGAGTTCACATATGCCAAAAATGGTACATATGAGGAAAAAAACCATGTGACTTAAATCAAACTTAAGTCATAACAATATATAATACTTTAAATAACAAGATAACATGTTATCACATAATACCAACAAAAGAATTAATGATAAATAGGTCCCCACATAGATATGACATCAGCATAATGTCATCAAAGAGTGGTGGGTGGGGGTGCCACATGGCATCCCTATGGCCACTTAGGATCCAAGTGGCATCCCCATAGAATGTCTTTGTTTGGTATTTATGTCAAACAAATTTGAAAATCATATTTTATTGTTTAAAAAAAACTGAAAAAATCTCCAAAAATCCCAAAAATTCTCTAAATAATTTCTCAATAGTATTACACAATTTTTCATCTATATAAAATATTTTCTCATCAATTTTAGATTAATATGGGCTAAAGGTAAATGAGATCTCTAGACTTATAACACTAGTTGGAATCCTCTATGGGGCTAACCTGAATGACGTTCCACCGGTATCTCAAGCCGACCCAATAAACCTATGCTCTATAGTCTATGACAGGGACACATAATTGGTCATATCAAAGTCGTTAAGTCAGATCTTCTCATCACTAAGGGTTCAATGGATTATTGGTACATTCCTGTGGAACATGTTCCTACTTAAATACAAGGGTCATCTCAAAGCACATGCACATTAACTCTTCTAAGTCGGATAATACTATAGAAAAGTGGCTTCCCCATACAACTGTGGGTGCATATGCTATGGAACGGTCCCGTGTCAAGATACGGGCTCATGTCACATGAGTCGACCATTTCATACAGGGCGAATACTCTTTTAAATACTCGGGTTCTATTATTCTCGATTGGATTCTCCAAGCCCTGGCTTATCACATCAACTATGAGGCATTCTAATCAATATAGTCCTAAATGAAAGGTGACCCTCACACCTCCCTAAGAGTTCACACTCTCAAAACGTATACTCTTAATGCCTCAAATACTCGGGGTGTATGACTCTGGGCCCAGTACGCCAAGCACCCAGATTCAGTATCTGTCTAACTCCCACTGAGCATAAGACTATTGGCTTTAAGGCCTTGAAAGGCCACATAGCCAACAAATCTTAACAGACCCGTCGCCTTTATTTGCTTAGTTTTTTAAGCATTGTTATTTCAGGAATTCTTCCATATGGAGGACTATAGAAAAAAGGCATTCATCATATGCTTGGAAGGGTATTCGACTTGGACAATTTTATCTCAAGGACAATGTTCGATGGGTTATTGGCGATAGTCGGCTAGTAGATTTCTAGGCAGACCCGTGGCTATCAGAAAAGTCGATATGAGACTTGTATGGTACGAACATTCATCATGATCTTGGGGTTTTTGCTAAGCCCAAGGTCTTTGATTATGGTTAAGACATTCTTCAGTGTAAGATTTTACCATCACCTACTTCAGCTAACTTGATACAGATAGGACACAAAGGTTGAGAGGTCTATTATTCCATTACAGCTCTGTAGGAATTTATTTGGTATGGATTTTTTCTGCGAGTGGATTGTACTCAACTAAAGAAGCTTGGGATTTCATTCAACACAAGGGCCACTCCCTGATATTCGGAGCTCTTTGGTCTTCAAAATATATCCCCCAAGTGAAATGGTTTTCTTGGTTGGCCCTTCATCACCAATTACCTACTTTTTCTCTCCTGCAATAGCATGAAATGGCTCGGGCTCCTCTCGTATGTCCATTTTGCAAAAATTATGATGATAGTCTCTGTCATCTATTACTTTTTTGTGATTTTCCGTACGCTTTATGGAGGTCGGTTGCATAGCAATGTGGTATGCGTTTCATTTTTGGCGCCTCGATTCCTATTATGTTGAGAAATTAGATTACCTTTCAAATTCAAATTAGATGGTTTTCAATATCTGGACTTCTCTTTTTTTTTACGACTATATGGTTCTTATGAGCGGAGAATAATTGGAGAGTATTCCAGTCAAGGCTAAACAAAAGGGAACATGTTCGGGAGTTAGCTGATTCTAAACCGTGGACTTTTCATTTGTAAAAAAAAGTGATTATTGATAACTTAAAGTTCATATGGCATCAACAGAAGGCTAAATCTACTATCCCAGTGGCATGGTCATTTCCTAGCCATAAATCTTTCAAGTTAAACATTAATGGAGCCTCTTTGCGTAGCCCAAGCAAGTGGGGGTGGTGTTTTTCGAGATTGTGACGGTATATTTATTGTTGCATTTGCTAAACCATTCGGAATTGCTTCTAACAATTATGCGAAAGTCTTCGCTCTCGAAGAAGGTTTGATCTTAGTCATTCAATTGCAGTGCTTCCCTCTACAGATTGAGAGTTATTTAATCCTACTCGTAAATGTTATTCAAAATTACTGCCGACCTCCATGGACGTTATATGCGATTGCAGCAAATTATCGTCATCGACTCTTTAACCACAGGTAGACCATCTCCCATATTTTTCATGAGGCCAACATGGTGGCAGATGCTCTTGCAAAGAGAACCATAACCTGCTCTGATGTTAGTCTAGCGTTCTCGTCCGCCGGATTTCATTTCATTTGCTCCGACTCATGATCTGGCACAATTTCCTTATTTTAGAGTTGTAAAGTAATAAGTTATATTTTATTTCATCTATTAATGAAAAACGGGCAGGGAGCCTTCTCCCCATGACTTAAAAAAAAAAAAAACAATTTTGTGATACACAAGTTTTCCTTCATTCATTTTGCTTAGTTACTTTTCCTCGAAGAAAACAAAAATGGTTAACAATTAAAAAGATGAAGCTCTTATATGACAACAAAGATGGAGAGAGAGATACACATGTCATTTTTCCTTAAAGATAGAGGTTTTGGGGCGACTTGATGTTAGAATTATTGGACACAATTTTTTTACATAACTTAAAATGCTCTTATTTTTAGGACATAGGAGCACCCCATTCATGCTCACTTTGTGAGCGATAAGGTGGTCCGATGTTTCTAATATCCAACTGCCCCGAAAATGGGTTTATCCAAAATTTTCAGCATCAAACTACTTTAGAAATAATAAAAGTTGTCATCATCATTATCACTAGAGCTTTTTTCCAACGAATTAGGATTTGTTGCACGAATCCTGATCCGCCAATCTACTTTATTAAGGGTTATACCCTCAATGAATCTATAAGTCCCCACATCATTTCTCATTATTTTCAACCATATCCTTTGGGACCTACGCCTTACCTTTTTTTAGCCTTCTACTTAAACTAGCGCGCACTTCCCAATAAGTGCTATACTGGGTTTGCACTGCACATGACCAACCCACCTAAATCTACTTATCTCATCTTATTACCTATTGATGCCACATCTAAATTATCCCAAATGTACTAATTTCAAATTGTGTCCCTTATTGCCTTGCCAATCATCCATTTACAATCTTATGCAATTGGAGAAAAAATTGCCAATCATCCATCTGCAATCTTATGCAATTGGAGAAAAAAAATCCCAACATAGAACCTTATGTACAAAATGCTCCTTTACTCAGTATGTAAGCAACACATTCAATTCATTTCATATCATAAGTATCCAAAGAGTATAGGATACTTGAAAAACTTGTCATGAAGCAATAAAAGTACCATAACAAAAGTCCACCTCAAATATACTTAAAACAATCATTACAAGGTTATAGCCAAATGCTTTCCCAAATTTCAGAAACAAATCATATACATAACCCCATATATAAGAACAAAATGTGAACAAAATAATGCACTAAATTGGTAGATAATATAACTATATAACATATCCGTTTGATAATCCAATCCTCTATAAATTGATTCAAAAAAAAAAGTCTAAAAAAAAACCATGTGTATGTAAAAAACGGCTCCAACGAAGCCCCAAATTAGTTGAAAATGAAAAAACATATCATACTGGTTTGGTACCAGAATCTTCTACAATTGGAGAAAAAAATACCTCCCCATGTAAAACCCCATGTATATGAACCCCTCACTCTTTATCTTAATTATCAAGTGTTTTCACTGCACTAATTACCCTTTCCCAAATTATTTCTCAGTTTTGACATGGCTTATACTTCATAAGTAAGATAGTATCAAATTTGAGATAATGTTTACAAATCAAACCAGTAGAGAGAGACTAGCAAAAATGAGATAATGTAACAAATAAAACCGGTACAGAGGCCTAAACAAGGTTCTTTACACAAAGACTGAGCTACTCTTTAGGCATAATGTAAAATTTTATAATTAGATATAAAAATAAATTTTGAGATAATCTTAAAAACATTTTACATCAAAATTATATAACATAATAAAACTTGAAGGTGCACTTTACCTCTACACCTCTCAGATGCATCCGTATGCCAACTGCACCCATCTTCAAATAGGGAAAACAGCAAATTAACTAAATGATTAAGAAATTAGCATTAGAAAATTTGCAAGATGTAAAGCCAGAGAGAATGGTTCAGTATCCGTACATCTAGAGAGAGAAACAAACAAGCAATATTACACTCCTCTCAAGACACTGAAGCCAAAAAAAAAAAACTCCTTAAACTTCTCCTTGTTGCCAAAGCCCCATATTTAGACTCCATAAGAGTTTTAGCTCACCATTGACTAGGCTAGGGTTCACTCTTCCTGGTTGTGAGAGTCAAACAAAGAAGGAGAGCGTTGGATCACCATTAAAGGAACAAGGGTTCTTTTTTGGGTGTGAAGGTCGATCGTTCACCATTGATGGGTTGCTTCTTCTTTACTTGCAGAGAGAGTAAGAAGAGAGAGCCTGTAGAGAAAGTAAGAAGAAAGAGCCTGTAGAGAGCTTCTTCTTTACAATTACCTTCTCTCTGATCCCAATCCAACTGCACCCTGTAACCTTCTTCACCCTTTTCTCTTGCATGGCATTTCTCACACAAGCCACTCTCTCCCACCTGCAATTCATGGCACGCACCTGCGCCATGACCAAATATGGCAGCACCCACTTTGGTTCGAGCACTGCCAATCTCTCTGCAGCTCTTTGTCCAATCACCATGTCTCCGTCCACTCTACAAGCCCCAAACAGAGCCTCCCAAACCAATGCGCCAGCCTCAAATGGCATCGACTCTGCAACTTTCATGGCTTCCTTGAGCCTACCCCTTCGGCCCAACATGTCCACCACACATGCGTAATGCTCAGGCCCAGGGACGACTCCATACTCCTCCTTCATGAGATAGAAAATCTCCAAACCTCTCTCTACAAGGCCACTAATGTTGCAAGCCGATAGAACCCCTGAGAACGTTAGTCTATCAGGCCGAAGCTTTGTAAATTGAATCTCATCGAACAAGCTCAAACCTTTGATCCCCTATCCATTTCTAGCATATCCATTGATCATGGCATTGCATGCCACCAAATCTTTGGTACCCATTTGCAAAAATACTCTCTCTGCACATTCAATGAATCCTGATTTTGAGTACATATCAATCAAACAACTCAGTGTAATCAATTCTGTGCTAAAGCCTAGTTTTAGAACCAGAGTGTGTAATTGCTTCCCCTGCTCATCCACTGCAACAAAGTAGGATGCAACACCTTTCAAAATGCTCCCATGAACCCATCGGGCTCAATTTTCGCTCTCATTATCCCTTTAAAGGGTAGGAATGCATCTGTTATAAGCACAAGCATCGCATAGACGGAGATCATTGCATTATAGATAGGCCCGTTTCGCTCTTCTGCTTCTCCGAATACTCGAACTGTCGCATAATCTGTCGCACTTTGCAAAGAGATCGATTAGTGATGCAAGGACCAAATCGTTAGCATAGAAACCAGACTCGATGGTTTTACTGAAAATTTGCTCACCACTTCTGAGATCTCTCAAGCCAACACAGGCTGTAATCATGGTGGACAAGGTGAATTGATCAGGCGAAACACCGGCCATTATCATGGCCTGAAACAATCTCAACGCAATTTCACCTTTGCATCCTGCCATTGAAGTGTTCCATGAGATTCTATCTCTCTCCTCCATGCTGCAAAGCATATTGAACAAGTACCCAACTGATCCGAACTTCCCATACATGTCCATTAAAGCATTACTGGTTATAAGATTTGATCCAAGGTCTTGTCTTATCAAGCGGGCATGAGCTTCTTTGCCATGACAAAGAGAAACGTAGGAGACAAGGATGGTCAAGAAGGTGAAACCAGTGGGTCTGAAACCCATATTCAGAATTTTGAGAAAGAGTTGTAGAGCTGAACTTGGCTGCCCATTCAATGCATAAGCTGAGATAATGGAGTTCCAAGTCGTTACATTTCTTTGAGGCATTTCATCAAACCATTTGTGGGTTTCGACTAGTTGTCTTACTCTCACAAAGCCCATGAGCAAAATGTTCCACGAAACTGTGTTATGACTTGCAGCGCTATCAAAGAAAGCTCGCTAAGTATCTGCATGTAGACCCCCTCTCGAAATTTTGGATAAGGGAGCTCCTAAAAAACCTAAAGGACTACAAAAACCGTAACAGATCATAGGCCGATCCAATATACTTGCGCAAAAACTATACCGTAATAGATCATAGGCCGATCCAATATACTTGCGCAAAAACTATCTAAAACTTGTCCCAACTTGAAATAGACCTTAAGAGTTTTCTACCGGTTAAAAAAGCGCCGGAAAGTTTTCCACATATCAAGCAATAGCTTGAATCTGATTTACGAATAAAAAGATCTAATAAATGACAATTTAGTCTATATAAGACATATATGTTGTGACAAAGAGCCTAATGATGTAGTAAAAGGCGTTTTTTTTAATTAAATAAAACAAAAGAATCAAAATAAATCTGAATAATTCCACAAAAAATCACCAAAAATTATCAATTGAATCTTATGAATACCCCCTCCATAAACCAAAAGGAAAAGAGAGGAAAGGGATAAGGAAATCCCTTAGAAATTCTCAAAATTAGAAAAGTAGCTAAAAAATAGAAAAAGCCCTTAAAAAATTCTTGAAAAATCTCAAAAAATCACAGAAAATCCCAGAATTCATAATCAACCTTTGGAGATCCCAAAACCCAAAGAAAACTAAAGAAATACTTATCCAATCTCAAGAAATCCTAAAAAAAACTAGGTAGATCACAAAACCGTTAAAAAACTAAAGAAATTACTCTTCAATTCCAAAAAATCCCAAGAAAAGCCTAGGTAGATCCAACCTAAAATTCGCAGCTTTTTCCAATGCCTTAAGAACTCTAGATTTAGGTAAAAAAAACTTAGATCTACCAATTCCAGCATGCAAATGCATCCAAAAAAGAAGATGGTAAAACAAATCGGAAGAAAGACTTTATACAAGTCTGAAACTCAAACTCCGGGTTTTGGGTCCGCAGAGGTAAGTATCTATTTCTTTGCTTAATTTAGTTTGTTTTTATTTATTTAATTCTCTATTTTATTTTATTGAAAAGTAATTTATTACTAGATTTAATTAAATTTATAAATTTTTTTTCTTAAATCAAAATACAGATTTGGAGCTTGCGCTGTGAGTGGACTCAGGAAAAAGATCTGAGCCCATAATTCAAATGACCCCATTTTCTCTACCTTGTTTAAAATTAATTCAGGTTTTGCTAAGATTTGTGCAGATCTCATCCTAGAGATCGGTGCAGATCGGAGTGTAAACAATTTGGCTCCTACCGTGGGGCATTTGAGCTTCAGATTCGTATTTTAGACTTAAAAAATCTTCTTCTTTTTTTCTTATATTTATTTTTTCAGCAAAAAAAGAAAAGAAAAGAAAAATAAGATAGATTTGAAAAAAATTTTAATTAGATTTTATCTGTTCTTTCTGGATCTTATCTTTTCTCTCTTCATAAAAAATTTAGGATCTTTTTTTTTGTCAATCTTTATGGTCTTTTGGATCTTTTAGATCAATCTTTATCTTCTTTTAAATCGATCTTTATCATCTTTTTTTAGATCGTCTTCTTTTAGATCCATCTTGATCATTTTTCTGTTTTTATCTTATTTAAAAACCATCTTTTAGATCATCTTGATCATCTTCTTTTAGATCAATCTTGATCTTCTTTTTTAGATCATCTTCTTTTAGATCCATCTTTATCGTTAGATCTTATTTTATTTCATCTTTTAGATCATCTCAAATATCTTTGTTTTTTAGAACATTTTTAGATTCATCTTGATATCTTCTTTCATTCATGTTCATCATCTTTAGAGTATTTTTAATCATCTTGTAGATTATTTTTGTCTTCTTTAGAGCATTCTTGATCATGTTTTAAATCACATTGATCTTCATTAGAAGCATATTTATCTTCTTTTGAAGCATCTTTATCTTTTTTAGAATCATATTTTATCCTCTTTAGATCATACTTACTTCTTTAAGTGCATTTTTATCTTTTTATAATACATCTTGTAAAAAGAATTTTTGTCTCTTTCCTTAAAAAAAAAAGAAGAAAATTTTCTCTTTTCATAAAATAAATTTTTTTTTTTTAAAAAGAAAGAAAACGAAAAAAAGATAGATCTAGGTTTTTTCTGCTGTTATTTGTTTAGATTAGAAATAGATCTCATCTTTTTTTATCTTATCTTTTGCTTGTAACTCTTATTTGCATAACTTAGAATTTTCTTGACTTTATCTTCTTTTTTAAAAAATAAATAAATTAAAAAAAGGGGGGGATAAATCATCTTAGATAGATTGAAAATCTATTTTAGATAGCTTGTAAATCTTCTTAGATAGATTGAAAAAAAAAAGGGGGGATAAAATTCAAAAAAAGAAAAGAAAAGAGATTTTTTTGTGCATAGTCTTGTAGTTATGTTCATAATTTATAGTGCCTCAGCTATTAAGTCTAGTGCATAGTTTAGATCCCTATGGATGGCTAGACCTATATGACCTTATAGCTCAGTTCCCTGGGTTACCCTGTCTCAAATCAGTTGATATCAAGTTTCAATGGGTCCATAATTCCACAAATTAGAAGATGAAGGTGGGTTCAACCGTGATTCTAGGTCTAGGGAATATGCCGCCCAATTTGGTATGCACCTCCCACAAATGTCCAAGTCTAAGGGTGACGTTGCCCAACTAGGGGCACACCACCCATCTATGTCAAAACCTAGAGTTAATGCTACCCAATTAGGGGCATACCACCCACCTCCTCAAAAGACCCATTCTAGGGGCCACCAATTTAGTAAGGTCCATAGCAACCCAGATGATAAACACATATGGCAAGTTACCCTGTTAGACTTAGAGTACTTCCAAAGATTAAATCAGGGCCCAAGCAAGACTAGCCACCAAGGAAAACTAGAGAGAAATACATCTCCATTTATACCCAAGAGTTCTTCAAGTCATGCCTCTATTCCTCAATGTTTGCCCTTATCCAATTCTATGAACTACGAGTCCCTCCAATCGAGTGTCTTAAAAACTTACCTAAGGTCAAGGCTTTCTTGAGGCGTGTTGCCCTTGTTGAGTCACATACCCCGCCTAGGGTGTCGAGTCGTCAGTAAGGTCAGAGTCAAAGGACTTTTCTAGCCCCTGATCAACAAAGTAATGTGAGTTCCATCCAGTCGATGAGCTGGCACCACCAATCTTCTTATCCTCCACCTTTCATAGAACAGGCTCGACCACTGGACCGTCCATCTCATAGTCAATCCAGACCTAACCCTCCACAGGTCATGTATAGTCATCTATCGATGCAGCCTCTTTAGGTCGCCCCAGTTTCATATCATCAGTAGCGGGCGGCCTATTCAACCCATGTTCCAACTCAGTATCCCTTGAGCCAGCCATACCTATCGACTACACACCCTTCGGCTTTCTAGGCCCTGGCTCCTCTAGTCCAGGTCACTTCTCAGACCTACTCGTATTATACCCCAACTCAGGCCCCTATGCCTGCACCACCTCTCTATCTGAATCCATCCATCTCGTAGGTTCAGCCTGCCCCTAGTTTGGTGCATCCCATATCAGCTGCATCTCTAGCATCACAAATGTGCCATCAGTTTTAGGCAACCAACAGACTTATACTTCCTCCAATATCTTACGTCAAAGATGTTCTTGGAGATGTCTAACCTCTTTATTCGGGTTTCGAATTCCCTTAGTTTGAAAACAAGTTCAACGGAAAAGGTGATTATGAAAATCACATCACCGCTTACTTATTGATCGTTCCTACACTTGAAGAGAAATCACGTCATCTCAAGGCCATATTTCAGTATGCTCTCTCCAGACAAACTTTAACATGGTTTTGGGAGGTAGTTATTAAATACCCGAATCAAACTCCCGATCAGTTGTTTCAACGTTTTGTTGGGCAATATCGCCGGACCAGAGATAGATCAATGACCTTTGGCGAGTTGGTCTCCACCTGACAAAATTTGGATGAGTTGTTTTTAGATTTTGTCCAACGATTTAGAGAGGCTGCGTCAAAAGTCATAGAGACACGTCCCCTAAGTATAAACTCTACTCTAGTAAAAGTGATTGGCTTCTCTCTTTTGACTCAATGCTCAAAATGGTTTTACGTTGTGAGAAAGCAAAGGTAAGGGTTCGAGATCGGTCACTAGTAATACTGGGGTAAGAGCCCAATGAAACCATACTTGGACAAGAGCGAGATAAAGTCATGATGGAACAAGAGCTTGACTACAGTGAAGATTTATCTGAATGTAACTCTGAAGAGATGACAATTGAAGAATTTAAAGCCGATCCCAAGTCGGAACCATACTTAGAACTGCTTAGAGATATATGTGGGGCAAACTTTTGGAAGACTAGGAGATGTCAAATGATACGAGTGAAAATGAAGAAGTCCTAGGTTGAACACCCGAAAGAGACCCCGGGGCGACAAAAAAATAGAACTTCTCTATCTTTTAGTCTCTTCTCTAGAAATTATTCTCTTCTCAAGTTAGAATGACATTAGAAAACAAAATAAATTGAAGGCATTAGTACAAGTAAACCTGAAGAGCCTCGACTATATGAACTTCAAAGGAATGGTACTGGAGGAACAAAATTGGAAGTCTAAGGACATTCTGAGTACTCTAGGGCGATATCTTATATTATCCAAGACGTTGGTTTACTCGGAAAGTAAGAAAAATTATCAATTGAATTGTGACATAAGAGCCAAGATTATAAGATGATGAAGTACTTGGTGATTTCTCATCCTGAAAGTCCCAAGTAAAGGCTTGGCAAGATCATGTAAAAAAAAAAAAAAGAGGAAAAAAAAAGAAAAAGAGAAAAGAATAAAAAGAAGAAGAAGAATAGAGAGCTCCATGGTAGCATGCGCCTAAACTGCTTACCAAACTTGTTTTTCAAAATCTCTCATCCATCTTCAAAATTTTCCCCATGTGTTTTGTGAGTTGTCAAAAACCTTAATTTATTTGGTTAGAAAGTAGCCGGAAACTCTGTTTCTGTTCCAAAATTCAATCTATCTTTAAAACCTTTTAAAGTGTTTTAAAAAAACGAAGGAGTTTCATGGAGGCTTGGATATGATGCGTCCGCTGCCACCAAATCTTGGGTTGTCATGCTTGCAAAACCTTAAGAAAGTAGAGACCAACCCATAGGTTCCCAAACCAAAAAGCCTGAACCTGTGGACCCTAATAATTAGAATCGAGAGCAAACAAGAAGTTCAATTAGCTAGGAATTCATCATCCCATCATTTCTTCTAAATCAAACTTTTATTCAATTGGAGAACCAAACTTAAAAAAAAAAAGGTCTAAAGTCGAAGATGACTGCTTCCTATATAGCATTGGAGTGACTATAATAAGGAGTGTCATCGGCTCAAAGATAGTACAGTTCCTGTTGACTGTCACTTCAAAACCCGATTGTCGGAGATCTTTAACTGCACTAACTCAAAGATAACACTATCAGTTCGATGTTTTAAAAATAAAAAACATCCATCGGAGTACTGCATACCCAAAGGGTACTGGTCATTCAAACGAATGATTCATCGAAAAAGAAAAAATTTCCTTCTCACCATGTCTCAAGTGTATATTTCTTTGCCATTCACTTGGTACCTTAAGGTGAATGCTAAAGAGGGGCAACTACAGACACCCCTTCGAAATTCTGGTTAAGGGAACTCTTAAAAACCTCAATTCTGAGCCTAAAAGACTACAAAAATCTTATTAGACCATAGGTAACGTAGACATAATAGAATTGCCCCAAAACTACCGAAACCTACTCCAACTTGAAGTAGAACTTGATAGCTTTCCAACGGTTCAAGAATTGTTAGAATCAGACTTACGGATAAAAAGATCTAACAAATGACAATTTAGTCCTAGTGAGACCAAAGTGTCGGACTGAAGGCTGAGCCGTGATGTGGCCCAGCAGGACCAGGCGCAGTTTGATGATGCAGTAAAAGGTATTTTTTTTAATTAAATAAGGCAAAAACTTCAATATAAATCAAAAAAATTTCGAAAAAAATTTAAAAAAAAATTCAAGAAAAATCATCAATTCAATCCTATAAATACATCCTCCATAACCGGAAAAAAAATATATGAAAGAGATCAAGAAATCCTTAGAAATTCTTGAAATTAAAAACATAACAAAAAAAATACCCAAAATAGGAAAAACCCTTAGAAAATTCTTGAAAAATTTCAACAAATCATAGAAAATCTTATAATTCATATTTAACTTTTAGGGATTCCAAAACCTAGCTTTTCTATGCCTTAGGAACCCTAGATCCCAGCAAGCAAAGGCATAAAAAAAAAAGAGATAGTGACGTAAATCGGAAGAGTGATCTGATCCAAGCCCCGAAACTTTCGGTTTAGAGTACCCTAGATATATGTCAAACTAATTTTAGCAAGCAAACGCATCCAAAAAATTAGATGGTGGCACAAATCGAAAGAGCGACGATCTAAGCTTGAAACTTCGGGTTTCAAGTCCCTAGAGCTAAGTATCTTTTTTTTGCTTAATTTAGTTTGTTTTTATTTATTTAATTCTCAGTTTTATTTAATTTTTTTAAAATTAATTTATTATTAAATTTAATAAAAATAAAGTGTTTTTTATTATTAAAACATCGGACCTCTATACATCAGAATTTTTTTTAGCCCACAATTCAAATGACCTTCCTTTCTATATCTTTTTTCAAATTAACTCAATTTTTACTGAGATTTGGCGGATCTCAAACCAACACCATACCGGAGCGTAGTCACATGGCGCCCAACTTCGTGTAGAGGTGTGGTTCCCAAAGAGGCGATGGCAATGAAAACCGAGTTTTATGAGCTGCGACTAGATACCTTTGCATAGACTAAAGGATTTTAGAGCGAAAGTGAGGTTGAGAAGTGGGATGTATGGGTCTGCGATTTCCTGGAAGGTTGAGGTGCAGTTCGTGAAGGCTTTTGTTACAGGGTTTAGTGGCGGATTTGGTTGAGATTTGTGCGGAAATCATTGCTCGAGGACGTCGTCTGCCATGGCTGTAAATCCGAGCTCTGCATACTCGTTTTTTATCTCGAATTTTCTTTATTTTTGTCTCTCCTCTCTGGTTGCTTGTTTTTACGTCTCTTGTTACCGTAGAAGCTATATTGAGGCATCCATCGCTGTCCATCCAGAAAACGGACGGTACAAATGAGCCGCTTCACTGATATGAGACAAAACCACAGAGCTAGCGGTGCAAAACTTTTCAAACAATAATAGCTTTATCAGAACCATCGAATCACTTCCCTCACATGGCCCCATCTCCATCACAGCCATTGTTGTGAACCAGTAAGAGAGAGAGAGAGAGAGAAGAGATAGGTATCCTCATCTCATGTCTTTGTTGCTGAGAAACCCATTTCCCCTTCTTCATTCCATATCTCTAAATTTCCCCAAACACCAGCATAAGCGCTGCACGGCCATGGTACTCTCTCTCACTTCTGTTGTTGCTTTTCGTTTTGTTTTTGTTTTCTCTCTCGAACTCTGTGTTCTTTTTTTTTGTTTTTCATTCTTAACGTCCGTTACTCAAAGTTCTCATTCTTTTTGTTACTTCTGTTGTATCCTTTCTTTCTTTATTCTTAGCCCAGGCTCTTGTTCTGTGGTGAATTGCTTTTTTCGATGTATTTTCCGTGTTCTTTTCACAATGCTTCTTCTTCTGGTTCAGTGTTAACCCAAGTTTCAGTTCATATATTGTTTCCTTTGATGAAATTTAAGTTTTTTCTTCTTCTATTTCTATGGTAACCTATTTTCGGTTAATCTCTTGTTTTCTACTTTTGAATTCCAGCATTGTTATTCTACTTCCATGGAAACCCAATTTCCAGTTCATTTTTTTGTTGTAAATGGATCTTTGCTTCTTCTACTTCCATGTTAATGCAATTATTGGTTTTTTTTTTTTCCTTATTTTCTCTTTGTAAATTAAGTTTTTTCCGTTCTGGCTATGGTAACTTGAATTCAGCCAGTCCCTCTTTTCATGTTCATCTGAAAGCTAACTCTTTCCAAGTCATGGTAGAACAACTCTGTATTTTTTTGTTCTTTTTTCCTCTCTTCAATCTTATTTCATTATCTTATTCTAGCAACATAAATAATCCAAGTTCAATGTCTATCCTTTTATACCCATCATTCCTTTTTACTAAGTATGATCTGCTATACTTCTGTCTATTGACTTAACCTCCCTTCGTTGCTTTGCCTCTCATAAATTTTTTTCTCAAACTCCTATTCTTCTGTCGCCTTATTGTTCTTTTTTTATTCTCTAATTGGTTTCTGATTTCCCTTTTCTTTTGCAGATGGAGGGGTCAAAAGTTGAGGCAACCGACGAGATGAAGAAATTAGAGGGAAAAAAGGTGTTTGTGGCTGGAGCGACTGGCATGACAGGTAAAAAGATTGTTGATCAGCTGCTTTCAAAAGGATTCCAAGTCAGGGCAGGAGTTCGTGATGTAGAAAGCGCAAAGAGTTCTCTTTCTAGCAATCAAAACATTCAAATAGTGAGTGATTTTGTCCAATAGGATCTTAAGCGTTAAAATGGTCATGTGATACATTGGCGATGTTGAATTTTCATTGTAATGGAGCTGAAAAATTGGGCTCAAGGATCTATTTATTTGTTTGTTTGGCATTTATTAGATAGCATCAAGTATGAGGCTTAGGTAAAATTACTTGAGGAAGCTTAATCATTGTGATATTATTTTATTTTTTTGTTGGGTTTTTTATTGGCTTTGTGGTTCTTATGATTGTTTTTTCAGGTTAAAGCAGATGTCACAGAGGGGTCAGAGAAATTAGCTGAAGCCATCGGTGATGCCGAAGCTGTGATTTGTGCAACTGGTTTCCGGCCTTCCTTGGATTTGTTTGCTCCATGGAAGGTTAGCTCATGGCATAGTGGGATTCATTGCATGAATTCTCTTATCGTCAGAAAATGGAATTTGATGTCACAAAGTCTTAGTGGCATTTGGTCATACCAGTTCATGTTTTGAGCTCGGATCTTTTGATGCTTGTTTAGTAAAATGTTCAATGAAACTAATGTTTTATGTATTTTTTTCTTTAGTTCCTGATATCTTGCATGTTTATGATCTTGCATCCAACTTGAAACATTTGCTACTGTCATGTATAAATAAACTATGAAATGTGCTAAATATTGGTGAAATTGTGAGTCTAACATTTTAGTCATTGTTCCATACTTTCTTGTAGTTGACTGAGAATTCTTTATCTTACATAATCTTTGCTCTATATTGGCAGTTTTTATCATGGGAAGACATTAAGGTTTCACATCTCATGCTCAATTCTCAAAGTGCCCAAGTTGTGCGAAAACCCAGTGAATCCCTGCACAAAGTGCTCTAAGACCAGTGCAATGGTTCTCAAAATCAATTGGGGCAATGGGAAATGGAAACTGACGATTTTCCTAAGCTTTTTTTGGTAGTACTTTTGGAAAGCCACATCCAGCATCATGTGTAATGAGCCTCTCCGATGCTAGATCTGTGTGGTTTTATTTCCATAAGTTCCGAATGATTTAAATTTGTATCAAGAACTGCACATTCTTGTATCAAGAACTGCACATTCTAAACTAAGAATAAAGTTCTCATGGTTCGTCTTCTTTTCAAACACAACGGAAACAACATGGACCACTTATTAATTAAACCAGTAGTTGGCACATATATTCAATATAAAGATTGGGAAAGTTTTCTAGTCTTTTCATGTTGTTCGGCTGGGATTATCCATACAAACGCATTAATCTTATTGGGTATATTGCTTTCTAGTCTTGAGACTACATCGCTAGATTGAGAATTTAGATGGGGAGTTTGGCTATGGAAACTCAGTTTCAAATGAAAATGAAAGTCATTATCTTGGACCGTTATGTGAATGTGTAAAAAGAAGGTCAGATGTTCCTTTGGAGGTGGGTTTTCTCTTTCAAAGCCTTGCCTACTTGGTCGATAGATGGGTATTCCTGTCTTATAGGGAGCAAGAAATTGGAAGCCTATAGTACCTTTTTTTCCCGTCATTCCTAACCTGCCTCATTTTAAAGATCGTTTGGTTGGGGGGAGAGGGCAAATAGAGGGACATTGTGGGGAGATGGAAAAGAATTGTGCCGCCCTAGCTGCTCATCCGGTCAGATGTTTCTTTGGAGGTGGGAATAACTAATGTCCTTTGTCAAATTGAAGCATCTATCTTTGTAAGTTATAATTAAGTAATACTTTCTTCATTGGGTAATCATGTCAGTTATTATTCAACCACTTAGGTGAAGAATATGGAAGTCTAATAATTCCGTTAGTGTTTGTAAACAAGGACTGGGCCTGGAATTGCGAGGGTCCCAGACCGATTCGACCACCAAATTGTTTGAGGCTCAGGAGACTCCTTCGAATTTTGGGATTTTTCCTCTGAATCACCAGGGCTCCAGTCCACGCTGACTCACATTTCTGTTCTTTACAGATGCATTAGATTCAACATACAAAATCTAGTTTTTTTTTTTTTGGATAAGGTTGACTTTGTATTAATAATAGAAACTTACATAATGAGGAAATTACAGACGACAGCCAACAGATTGGGTGCTCATACTACATATGGAACAGTTGAAGGGAGAAAGAATAAAGAAAATAGGGAAAATAGAAAGAGAGCAAAGAAAGAGGAGAGAGAAACTAATATTAGGGGTGTATAAACGAAATACAGGACCCACTGCTAGGTTCTCAGAAAGACGAATCCACAAAGAAAAGGGAGCTACAGAAGGCATTGCATAAGCGAAATGTAAAGAGAGCTTCAAAATGAGTTTGATATTGAGAGGGGACTAGGGTTGCAGCCCTACAAGTCAAATTGTTGAAACTCATCCTTCGCTACATGAGCAGTTTAGGGGTGCTTTGGGCCGAGGGGCTTCTGATGTAACTGTAACAGTTACATGCTACATATGTAACTGTTGGAGGGAGATAGAATAAAGAAAATACGGAAAATAGAAAGAGAGCAAAGAAAGAGGAGAGAGAAACTAATATTAAGGGTGTATAAACAAAATAGAGGACCCACTGCTAGGTTCTCAGAAAGACGAATCCACAAAGAAAAGGGAGTTACAGAAGGCATTGCATAAGCGAAATGTAAAGAGAGCTGCAAAATGAGTTTGATGTTGAGAGGGGAATAGGGTTGCAGCCTTACAAGTCAAACTGTTGAAACTCATCCTTGGCTACATGAGCAGTGTAGGGGTGCTTTGGGGTGAGGGACTTCTGATGTGCTGAGCTAGGGAGCGCTGTTGGGCGAACTGTGGAGTTGCTTCTGGCTAGAAGGCAAATCAGCTACCGAGAGGAGCTTCGGTCCTCAGCTTTATCATATCAATGTTTTGACGTGGGGCAGGAAGTAGGAGAAATGGGGTAAAAGAGAGAAAGGAGGGGAAAAGTAGAGATTGTACAAGAAAGGAGAGGAGACGGTAGAAGGGTGAAGTAGGGTTAGAAAAAAAGACGTAAGAAAAATGGGCTCAATGGAAGAAAATAGGTTGAGGGGCTCGCTTAGAAGATTTGGAGAAGGCCACGTGAGAAAGAGAAAGAAAAGGAGAGAACAGAGAAAAGAAAGAAAGAAATAATATATATATATATATATATTTATTTATTTATTTTTTTATTTTTACCCTCCTTTGTCCACTGATTTTTTTATGGGGAAATAAATGACTGTAAGATGGGTTGAAGAGAGAGAGAGGGGAGATAGAGGGAAAGGCGAAGATGTTGACGCTATTTACTCTATAAGGCTTTGAGCATATGCTTGTCGCCATAGTGAAGTGAGGTGGAGAAAAGGGCAAATAGGAGAGAGATTGTGAGGGGAAAGCCAAACGAGTAAGGTGAAATGGGAGGGGAAAGAATGGAGATCATTGGCTACCTAAAGAGAGTTTGCGGTTGGGTGAGGGAGAGAGACAGAATGAACCGAGAAGAAATGCAAAGATAGAGAAGGGAGGAATTTGAAGTAGGTGGGAGGTTATAGACTTGAGGGTCACAAATATTTAAAGCTGACCTTAAAGTTCGCATCAGACCCCCCCCCTCCCCCTCCTTTTTTTCTTTCTAGGGAGAAAATTGAAGACGAATAGATGAGGGGAGTTTTGCGATTTAGAGAGGAAGAGAGAAGCGAGGGAGGTGGAGAGTGAGATATCAGGGATTTGGCTGTGTATGTGTGCTGAGGGAGGCTCCTTCCTTTGCCAGCCAGTCAGCCTCAACATTGGCTTCTCAAAAGATGAGTTTGAAAACTAGCTGTGGGAGAGAGCTGCAAAGGAAAATTATATGCTCAAATATTGAATTGAGCCTCCATGGGGGTCGCTTCTGCTGGGTGGCCCATAGTATTGTGTTGCTTGAGTCAGATTCTACAATGATCTCTTTAGTACTGGTCCTGACCAGAGCCACCCTTTTGAGGCCTTCTAGTAAGGCCATCGCCTCTGCATAGGTAGAGTCGTGAAACCCTATGAATTCTGAGAAGGTCAGGATGATTGAGGAAGAGTCTGCCAAAGAGCCTCCAATGCCCGATGGTCATGGGTTCCCAAGGGAGGACCCATCGGTGTTGAGTTTTAGGAAACTAGGGGGAGGGGTTGTCCACTATTGTCTAGGTCTAAGTGTCTGAGTTGAGAGGTTAAGGAGCCAGTCCCAATTGTTTAAAGAGTGTGGGATTGGAAGTGAGGCAAAAATGGGGATTCCTTTGGCCCAGATGGAAATTAAGACAGTGATCGCTTAAAACATAGATTGGGTGCTTTCCAGGGTTCCCCTGAAAGTTCTAGAGTTTCTGTTGAGCCATAAGCTCCATAGCAGAGCCGGATGGAGAGGTGCCAGAGTTTTTTCCCGTTCTTGGAGAATAGAGGAGAGAAAAAAGACACAAAGAGGTTGATCAAAGTTGGTGGAGTAACCCACTGCAGGCCAAAAAGGTTAAAAAGGGAGGACCAAAGTCTCAAGGAGACCTCGAAGTGGATGGAAAAGTGTGGGATAGTCTCCTCTTCCTGAAAGAAGACTAGTTATTTACTATTCCAAGTAGCTATAATATCCTCAAACACATACAATTAACCAAACCATAGTCCTGACAAGATTAAATTACAAAAAAATTATTCTACTGGGTCATAATCTGTAAACATCTTACTGGCAGGAGGCTTCAAGGTTACATCGATGAATGATTAATCACTTGTGTTGAGAATGATAGGGGCAAGTATGGTTATTTGGCCAAATTGAACTCTTCGGAATCAAGCAATTCCATATCAGTATCCTAGATCGTGGGAACTGTTGAGTTCAATATTGCTCAAAACTGGTCTGGATATGAACTGCAAACAGATGTCAGCCAATTCGAATGCAGTGTTTAGGAACTTGCCTTGGACCAGGCCAAGGTGAATTACTCGGCCGGGTCTGAGTGGACTTGCCTGAGTTCCTATACAAGGCCAAAAACCCTAGAAAAATTTAAAAGTAAAAGAAAATGAAAACAATAAAATAAAGGTAGTAAAAGTAAAATAAAACCAAAAGCAACCTTAAACGTCCAAATAAGCTTATAGAAAAATGGATTTAAAAAACCGATTTATAGTATGAACAATCCAAAAAAGGGAAGATATAAAAATAAGGATTATTGCAAAAAACACACTAATATTTGCCAAAAACATCCAAATCAAATGCAAAACAACATTCCCATATTTTTAAGAATATTTTGGGATTTGTTTTTAATGTTCTTTATGTACCCTGAGTCGTACATACAACTTGGGGCAACTCGGCTGAGTCCGAGTGGACTTGGACTAGTTTAGTATCATCAAATGAGTTCCTATTTAATCATATATGTCTTAATGGTCAAAGCTTAAACAACAGAAAAATCAACTTATGAATATTTTTCAACAATATTCCCTCACCAGGATGAGTGGCTATCGTGGATGTGCTTTGATGTT